ATATTTCACAAATTGCCAAATATTCAAAACGTTTGCCATCTAAAATTTTTCTCTGCATGCAGTCTTTTAATATTATTTACCTGGCCCATTACAATTAGCTGAGGTCTCTGCTTGATGTGGCTGAGGCCCCTTGGTGGTATTTGCAGCTGATGGCACTTGGGTCTGGTGCAACCCACGTGGCATCTTGGATTTCTTTCTTGCTGCATCACCAGAAACTGCTAGATATGGAAACCTCAACTGTCTTGTCCTTGGTCAGCAAACCATGTGCAAAAGCTATTCATATGCAGATTAGAGTAGTTTTTGTCCTCTTTGCTTTTGGTGCCCAAAACATTTTCCGTGGTACGTAAGAAACAGACTGGAAAATCATCCTTTGGAGTTGTTGGAAATAATTCTTGTCATCTGAAGACAATTACAAGTGTGTCAAATCCTTATCCTTCAAAAGTCTACAGCCCAACTGGTAAATAAGTGGCTCCTTATGATGTTATGAAGTCACTGGATTTTCTCCCCTGTGGGAGCCAATGGTGGAGTTTTCCTCCCTGACAGATCCTGTCTTTAGAAGCTAAGTGAAACTTCCAGAAGAAAGCCCAAGGAGAGGAAATATTTTAAAAACCCTTCTAGTGAGTTGAAGTATATTTTTGCCCATACACCTGGGGCCACGGTGAGCACATACAGATACATAGAGCTATATAAAGCAAAAAAAGTGCTTAGAAATTTAATCTATAATAATAATAACTGATAAGTGGGATTTTCATAAGCATCCGAAGCTGTGGTTTCACAGTCCACTGCTGGATCTGGGTACTACCAAGGCATCTAGTGGTACGCATTTGACCCAAATCAGGCAAACGCACATTACTGTGTTCTTATGAAATTAAGCAGAACCGGAGACTGCGATGCATTTAAAATGATCCTACGCTTTTATGGTAGTCTTACATTGCCTTTAGGAAGCTGAGTGTGATCAAACAGTATTTAGCCTGGCAGAAAGTTTGCTGTCACCTTAAGCTTAACCTTTCAACATTTTAAAATGCATTTTGAAGTGGGTGTGAGTTTACATCAGCTCAGTGCTCCTTTCCTCACAGATTTACGATCGCTAACATCAGATTTACTGTACTGTTGACCCATGGACTCAGCAGGGACAGGTATTCTAAATCAATGAGGCAGGTTTGAAAAATCCACTCTGCATACATGTTTTTGGGTTTTTTTTGTAGCTATAACAGTAATATTTTCTGTCAGGGTCTGATCTTGTGAAGGGAACCCAGTCTGTAGGCTGTCATTCCAGCATGGGCTCTTCTCCAAGTCAGTGGAAAACAGTTCCCCATGTAGGGTGAGCATCAATCTGATCCCAAACATTTAATCCTACACTTCTCATCGAAGACAACTGGAGCTAGGCACAGAAATGTGCCTTGAAGGTCTGTTTAGCACTTCAGTCAGGGATTTGGCTCAAAAGAAACCAGCTGATGGTGGTGTGAGGGGCACTTAGCTGGAACAAGCCAGGTAAAATCTCACCGCTGATGGTTTTTTCCTTTTCATAGCTTTGTTCCCTGATTTTCTGTTGTTGCAGGAGCTCAGATAGATGACAATAACCCACGCCGTACTGGCCACCGCATCGTGGCACCTCCTGGTGGCCGCTCTAATATTACCAGTCTTGGCTGAAAAATGATGATGGACAGAAACACGAGGATGAAGGATCATGGGAATAATGTCCGTTCCCTTCAATATCTGTGTTATCGAACCCATGGTTTTATTTGGTACTAATGGAAATAAAAAACGAAATGTTTTTCTTTTTTTTGTATAGGAAGAGGTGATAATAGTGTGGTGTGTTTGCTTGGAACTACTTGCCTCACAATTGTGCTTTCATGCCATAGTCACCTTAAAGCATGGTGCTTCCATTGCCCCTTTAGTGACTACAGGTTTTAGCTTCGTCTCGTAACTGAATGATGGTTCCTTTGCACCCTTTCGCTGTATTAGAGTAGTTAATGCATGTTACTGAGTTATTTATGCAAGTTGCATTCTGTGAGTGAGTCCCTTTAGAACACGTTGCCAACAATTGACTAGACACAATGCCAAGATTAATGTCCGTATTTGAGAAACACCACCAAAAACACTTATGAAGGAAGAAAATGGCCATCTTGAAAGTATGCAGTAGAGTAGTATAGGCAGCTTCTGTTTCATCTTTAATTTATTATAAACCCAAGAAGCACTTCTCTCAGACACAGAAAATCATCGGGACACGTGATGACAAATGGTCTCTGTAGCACCTGTCTGTTCCCACTCAGTACGTTCCAAGTCTGTGTCCTTCTTGTTTCCATTTTAGACAGAGCCATAATTTATACATACCAATGCCATTGCCACCCCTGCAGGGATTTCTCCACCTGGGCAGTAGTGCTCTCCTTCTGCATGAGATTTTTGGTACTTACAGATAATCCAAGTTGCCGTCGGATTTTTAAAGTTTTTTGTACAAAGTTTTTCCTTTGTAATCACATGCATTTTTACTTACTCTACCGTATCAAGATCTACTAGTCGTGGTTCAATTTCTGAATTCAAAGCTTGTGAAATAAAGGAAATGAATTGATGGGTAAGCGTCTTCCTCTGCTTTCCAGTGCTGTTGCTCAATGATTGAAAATTTAGAACAGAGAAACTCAAGAGAAATTGTCTTTTAGGTTGACATCATGTAAAAGAAGGAACCGCCTTAGATTACAAGGGGTGTTAAATGTATAGGTGTCTGCATATGCATACTATAGCATGCCATAACCCGTCTTAATTAAATAGAACTCACAGTAAAAATATACTTACCATTTACATTGCAGCTGCCTCAGTTTTGGCCAAAGGAGACCTAAATTATCTTTCCCCCAAGACCTTCAAGACTGCATCTGATTTGCTTGAAATGGTAATTGATTGCCACCATCTTAACCTGTAGTACCGAACCAGTATGCAGTGCTCCAGTTTAACCTAAGCTATATTTGACTTAATACTGGTTTTCTCTGCTGACTGAACCGGGACAGTGTTTAGGCATGGCATGAACAAGACATGCTGCAGGTAAGGTGAGGAAAGTGGACTTGAATTCTCTCTGTAAGAGTGAAGGAACTGCTTTCTCTCACAAACTATGTAAAGAAACCTTTTCTATCACTTGTTACTTGTCTGATTGTGTTGCAGATGTTGTGGGAAGAGTGGGCTACGGTGGAGGGTGGGGTACTACGAAATCAAGCAGGTCAGCGCAACACCTCCCCTTGGCCTTCTACCATTTTGCCCTTGTCTACATTACAAAGCTGCACCAGGAAAAGTCTTGTAGCAGCGCCGTGCCAGTGGAATGGTTTTATCTAGCTGGGATGCTTGACCACATAGCACCGGTCCATCCTTTCCATGCAGCAATAAATTGTGTTGGCACAGGACATGCGGTGCACGCCAGGTGCACATGGGACATAAAGTTTTGGAAAGTAGCCTACTTGAAGCCTGTCATCTTCTTCTGAAGCCAGTATGCTATCACCTCCAGCTTGCCCGGGAAAGGAACCGCTACCCTGGAAAACTCCATTTCGGTCAGCTTGGTCTGAAAACCTGGCAGCAGAGCTGGTGAATAGCCAGCTTTTCTTTTGCTTCGACTTTGATCTGAACCAGTGAAGAAATGCTGCAGTTCAGCCTGAAGTGAACTGAATTGATTGCTCCCAAAATAAGAGAAAAATAAGGCTTTTCATGAACAACCCCTTCTGCTAAGGATTCAAATTCATGTTTCCTATTGCCTGGAGAGTGCCCTCATCCCTAGGCTTGCTTGCTCACTTGGTAGTTCAGGTATTTTATATGAAGTAAAACAACTTGCTCACTTGGTAGTTCGGGTATTTTATATTAAGTCAAACAACTTACTCACTTGGTGGTTCAGGTTTTTTGGATGAAGTAAAATAATGCTAGCAGAGAAGCCTGAGGACAACCTGCTCTGGAATAACCCACAGCCTAGCAGGTAAGGCAATCCTGAAATGCCAAGTCTCCATCTCTACTGTCCTATTCCAACCCATTTGCTGTGAGTGTTGACAGAGCCAGCAACAGTTCTGGTAACCTAACCCTGACAATAGAAATAAAGCTGGTTTGTGAAACTATGTGGCAAATTTGACATAGTGTGAAAAATTTGCAACTGCTGGTTACAGTTCCTTAGTGAGTTTCTTGCGTGTATTTGTGTGAGTAGCAATAGCTGCTCACCTCCAAGTAAAACTTCTACTCAATCTACGAGGCTTGTCATGCTTGAAGTGACAGAAATGATCATTGTGTAACTAGTATTGACAGATTCCACTTTTCCTACATGCTAAACAACATCCTAAACCAAAGAACCCTTTGCCTACAAGGTAGTCAAGATCCACTGTTGTTAACATGCATTTATTTTTCAATGGTGAAGTGTCCGTGAATAAATACATGTGTGGGTATTTGTGAGGCACTTCATGGTTCAGTGCTTCTGTGCGAACAAGACTGTGCTTGTCAGGTCAATGTAACTCTGCTATGATTTCTCCGAGGAGAAATAGGCTAGCGTGCCCATGATGTTCATAAGCTCCTGCAGCCTGGCTGCTCCTGCCATGCTGCTGCTGAGGGACAGCCTGCAGGAAGCCTGTGGATCATATCCTGTCCCTTGGTCTCTCCACACTGGACATGCAAGACTACCTGGATGTGATTTAAGCAGCATTTTTTTGGAGCACAGGTACATTACTGCATCGTCACCATGTGAAGTGAAGGACGCCTCACTTGGATGGTGTATTTGGTTTGTGTGGCAAGGTTCTGGTAGTGGAGGGGCTACAGGGGTGGCTTCTGTCAGAAGCTACTAGAAGCTTCCCCCATGTCCGATAGAGCCAGTTCCAGCCAGCTCCAAGACAGACCTGCCACTGGCTAAGGCTGAGCCCGTCAGCGATGGTGGTAGCTCCTCTGGGATAACATATTTAAGAAGGGAGAAAAAAACTGCACAGCAGCAACTGCAGCCAGAGAGAGGAGTGAGATATGTGAGAGAAAGAACTCTGCAGACACCACAGTCAGTGAAGAAGGAGGGGGAGGATGAGCTCCAGGTGCCGGAGCAGAGATTCCCCTGCAGCCTGTGGTGAAGACCACGGTGAGGCAGGCTGTCCCCCTGCAGCCCATGGGGGTTAACAGTGGAGCAGATATCCACCTGCAGCCCGTGGAGGACCCCATGCTGGAGCACGTGGATGCGCCCAAAGGAGGCTGTGACCCCGTGGGAAGCTTGTGCTGGAACAGGCTTCTGGCAGGACCTGTGGACCCATGGAAAGAGAGGAGCCCACGCTGGAGCAGGTTTGCTGGCAGG